GTAAAGGGAGAACCAACTGGAGTGAACCTTGGTTATACCAGGAGCATCAGAAGTGAGACCAGCCTATCATATTAACATAATGAAATACAAAGCATGTATTAGGTTACCATATAAGCAGCTTCTCTCATCATTCTTCTTGCTCTTGCTTTCCATATAGCAGGAACAGTAATGACCCAATCAAAATCAGTTGACTTGTAGTTTCCTTCCAGATGATCAGTCAGTAGCATCTTCTTGAGGTGTGTTAGTATGAAAGCTATAACTTCAATAAGATAAAAAGACCCTCCATCAGTGAGTGAGGAGACTTGAGTAGTACGATCTAATGACTGATGAGTATAATTTTATTACTTAAAATAATAAACAGCATTAAACTCACTTTATCTCTCTCTAGTAATGGTTTTATTCTTTCAAAATATACAAAGTCTTTAGCATCTTTCTTAGCTATGCCATGGCATATACTCTGTGCTTGATTTCCAGTCCCAATGACTCTGTATTGTTTCCCCTCTTGCTCCTTCTTGATTAGTATTGAATTAGGGATTCTTTCCAATGAACTGTGAAGTGGTAGAACTTTTACATCTTCTCCTGTTGTTGGAGTGGTATATGCTACTGATAGTGATGAGGTCCCAAAGTCAATAGCTGCTATACAATTGCTTGTCTGTAGTACAGGAGGTGCTCTTGGTATCTTCTCAGCTCTCGATAGTGGTCCCTTATATAAAGCCATGATAAACGTCTTCTTCTGACTTTTTTTGCTTTTGGTTTATCACATGACTATACAGAATTGCAGCCAAGGTGGTTACAACCAGTTGGCAACCTCACAAGGCTGTTGACAACTTGCAGCCTATTGACCTAGTAACAATCTTGTATAAGGTGGTCAGGCTTTGACTAAATTGTTAAGAAATGTGGCAACATTGTTGAAATGTTGTTTGAATAGAAATATGAATGAATAATGTTTACTCCAATCATTGTACATGCAGCTAGTGTAATGAACTTGCTACAAATTAAGTTGTTAAAAGCTAGGTCAATAACTATTATAGCTTCACATCCAAGGGTTGTAAACCCAGGCTATATGTATATAGTCACAACTTGGTATTAACAATGGCATGCTCTGTATGGGAATTATTATATTGACCTCATTACAGTAACAGATCACACACTGTTGCACCGATTGGTATTTCTAGAACTTGTTTATACATTTTACATTTTGAAGCTAAAGTTGCATGTAAAAAAATGCATGTAAGATCTCATGTTTCTTTTCCTTATAAGGAGTTAGACAAGTATAGTAATGTAGTGAGTGGGCAGTTTTAGTGTTCCT